TTGATAGCCTTTTAGAGATTTATTTTACCTACAATATGATATATTATATATCTTTTTACTATAAATAGTTCTTGAGATATAAGCTTTTTAAAAATTTTACAGATTCCAAAGTGGCTCTTTTTTGTACCTATGAGCCCCTACACCCGAGAACCATGTGTGCTAGAGAGCTAAAATAAACGGCTTTCTCATTTATTTACCCTTCTAAATAATTCCAGAAATTTTTAACAATTTTAAAAGGGGTCGGTCGAATCGTGATCGATTTGACGTGGAATGGCCCAAATATACAATTATTACTAAAGCATAGGTTGTTGTTGCAATTAAATTGTTATATAAGATTTAAATTTAACTTTATATTAAGGGCTGCTAGAGAAAAAACGGCCACAACGATCTGGTAGAATAAGATTCGCATAAGTTGATAATATTTAGTAAAATATTAGGTTGTTGATCAACCATAATATTCAGAAAGAGAAATGGCTTTCATCTTAAAAACTAATGCCGCAATCGAGCGAGCACAATTAGAGATCTAAATATTATTTTGGATCATTAGTAAGAGTGGAGACCAATTATGCAACAATCTAATAATAGCAGAATGAAAAACAAGCTAAAAACTGAAATATGAAAGAAGAAATGATTAAGACTATTTTAAATTGTTATAATAAAGTTTTAGATATAGGATAATAAATAAGAGAATCATTTATTATAGAGCTTGTAGATTAATCATTCAAGCAAAATGAAGAAGTAGTAATTTCTGAAGAGAAAATAAACGATTCAAAACTTTTGAGTTCTACATATGGTAAAATAATTTACAGGAGTTATAAAATTGGTTTAAGAGAGTATGAGATTTGATAAATTTTGGTAAAGAAGAATTTGAAAATTAAAAAAGTGATAAAGAACTGTAAAAAAGAAAGAAGAAATAAAGGGCGTTAGAGATATATATTTCAGTTATTTCAACGAGAGTGCGTGTAAAATAAAAATAAAACAGTTATGTATTTTATGTTTTTGGACAACGGGCGTGAGCCGCGTGAAGGAGGGAAGAAATAGATATTTGGGGTTTTCTTTAAAAACCGCTTACAATTTTTCATAAAAAATGATGAAATAAATGCGTAATGACACAACAAGAAAAAAAAAGTATAAATTTAGAATTAAAAGATTTTTAGGTACAAATCTATTAAGAGAAGTTTAGGTATAAACTTAGCATTAGAATTGGTTGGCGAAAGAGGATTATTAATAGTTATGACTAAAGGCAAACCGTTCAAGGAAGAGATGGGTCTAAGTATAGACAGGCTTATATATCCAGATTTTAGAATTTAGTTAACTATAACGAAAGTTAAAAAAATCATAGTAAGTAAAACAAGGTTACACTGTATGACATAAAAGTTGAAAAATATTATTATTGAGAAGAGAATGAGCCTTAATTAATTGTTATAAATTTTCAATTAATATTTTAAATAGTTTATAACATAGCAATGTAATCTAGGAATGTTGATATATTATTAAAAACTATTATTTGGCTCATGTAGTGATTGTTACAATCTAAACGTTTCTTGGCTCCAATATAAAGTACTACTGGTAGTGTTGATTTACGAGAATAGGCAAATTTGCGATGGAGTAGGAAATTCCCCAACTTATGATGATTTTGCATGGGATTCCGATACGGGATGACTATATTTATATTATATTAAGTAGGAGGCCATTTGAGATGGAAAGTTTTATGAGGGAAAAATATACAGTCAGGTTCTGACTATATCTAACCATTTATAATCCTTTTGTGAAAATAAATTAATATAATTTGAATGTATTGTTTTTGACTCGGCCTTGTTTTTTTTTTAATGTACCATTTTTACGCAAGTCTGAGGGCTACAGGTAATTGTTAATTTGGGGAAAGATTTACTCTTTGAAATCTTGACTTGTAAAGGATTAGATCTCCGAAAATTACCCCTAGAATATTGGCCACTGCAAGATTTTCTATCTATCCCTTCACTTATAAAAATTTATTCTAAATATTTTATGATTTTAATTTTTTTTAAATTTCATTAAGTTAAAAAGAAAACCATTTAAACCACGTGACACAAAACATTTTATTTTATAACACATTATGATATATTTACTCGTCCCACCAATGAGCCCCCCCCCCTCCGCCGTTAGTAGTATATATAGTAAGTTCGATTTGATCAAGTGATTCAAAATTAATTGCTAGTGATATCATCACTTAATCGACACAGCTAAAATAATATATAAAAACTGTCGTGATGTCATCATTTTTAGCTTTGTATCTATATATTATCTATTATTGGCTTACTTGTAAATTACGCCGCGATTAAATTTGCATCAGGGGCATCGCTAGCCTTTACAATCTCAGGGGGCTCAACTAAAAAAATTTTATGGGGGGATTCGCCTTCCATACCCCTAATTTGTCGGCCTTTGCCCGGCCTTCGGCTGGGTTTTATATTGTATATTATACTTTTTAAAAATTTTCTAAGTCTGAATAATTATTCTGAATATCATATTTTGTCATTTATTATATTATGCATAAAAAATAAACTAGCATATGAATAATTAAAACAATATAAGACATTTTTAAAAATATTATTTTTTTATACAAAATCTATTTATAACAGTATAAATATATTTTAGATTGCTGATATAAAAAAAATTTTGCATCTAAAGAATTACAAGTGATAAAGGTTAATTAATTCATACATATGCCTCAATTGATAATACGGAATAAGGAATAAAGCGCATACGCCCTCTCAACGTTGTAGGTACAACAGAGCTACGCTAGGTTTTCCTCATTTCCATCTAATTGGAAGATTTAAGTTAGGTATAAAGTAAAATATGAGGAGCCCTTCACACGTTTGTGGGCAAGCGGCACGTACTTGTACGCATAATAGTTCATAAACTATTATTTAAACGTCTGTGGGCTGGAACAGATAGGGAGGGCCAAGAGAACAGCCCACACCCAAAACCTACGGCCCTATTTATTTTAAAAAAAGGGACGGGGAAGGTACTCTAGAAATAAAATTTAAAACCTAAAATAAGAAATATATGATTAAATAAAATACAAAGTACAAATACGATCACTTATCAGTTTATAACCATCCTTGAAGATAATTTCCATATTCATACTCAATATATTTTTTCCATTTAGGCAACATGCAGATTTTGAACATATGTTTGAATCGTAACGTTCTATCACTTTAAATTTTCCACCGGAAATTAAATCGTAAAAAACAAGATTTGAAAATAAAACCAGATGACTATAGGATCAATTGATAATGGTTTTTAAAAACATATTATAAAATTAGCAACTTACATTGACAAAAGGTCAAAAAACTAATATAACACTCTGTTACGATTTTTAGACAATGTTTTATAGAATGGACTAATAAGGAAAAATTTATAGGCCTAACCAAATCAACAATTCTGGATAAGAGAATATAAACGACTAATTCAAATCATAAAACTATATGGTGGTTAGAGCTTCCTCTTAAATGACATGACGGAAGCTAGATAAGTAATTGAGAAAAAATATTGTGAGATATTAAATTTCTAAAAGATTATCTTCCATTTTTAATGATATGTAAACAATTACATAGTTGACCATTATTGCTTATAAAATATGCAATCATATGCTCTCAGCAGCTGTAATAATAATCTTAAATTACATAGCCACACAAATAATAGATGCTGGTTAATTTGCAGTCATAGATATGACACTCACTATGTTAACTTATATCAGAATTTATTATGCTAGATAAATTGATAAAACAAAAACACTAAAAATTTTTAGAAGAAATTATGCAAATGTATTGAAGCCTTAAGTTATTAACAAGGCAGAGATGCCATATTAGAAATGAAACATTTTGTAACAATAAAATAAGAACCAGAGTGATATGATATGATAAAAGAAATTAACTATGATTATATATATTATTATCGCACCACCTCTAGTTGGTATATTATATCCAATATCATTGATTATATCTTAAAATAGTAGTAGTTTGTAATAATATCAAAAATATACTAATAATATAAATTTAACTCAAAACTGTTTTTCAAATGAGAAAAAATATCTTTCCTAAAAACAGGTAAAAAAGAGAAGAAAAGTTATCTAATTTATTATATCCTTAAAATGAATAATAAGATGTTAAATTTTTAAAAATATTTCTAAATATATAGATGGCGTTAAATATTTAAAGCAATTTATTACTTATATTTATTATCAAAAGCATTTATTACTAAAATTTATTAAAATATTAACTGTAATATATTATTTAACTGAAAATACGTCTGTAAAAGTGAAATTTAACCTAATATTTTATAAGCAATTATATCTAATAGAGATTATAAACTATATTTTTAGTTACTTTTTATAAATAAATCTCTTATACTTATTTGAATTTGGACCTTGAAAATAATATTAAGAAGAGGCATGGTAATTAAATTTAAATATAATAATATAATTGTTTAGTGATTTTGAACTCGGCTAATTACAATTTAAATTTGTTAATTTTCAATTAATATTTATTTAATTAGGGTTATATAATAATTTAAATAATAAAAGTCAATAAAGCTTCAACTATTAATGCTAAATTAATATTTAGTGAGTGATATTAATATTCTATTTTTAACATAGAATTTGATTGCAAGCTGATATAGTGAAAATATAATTTATAAGTGTTAATCTAATCTAATAGTTAAAATAGTATTCATTTAAGAATAATTTAGATAGACTTATTAATTTTTTAATTATAAATAAAATCTATATATTACACAATATTATAAAATAAATCATTCAATGGGTAATTAAAAAAATTTATTTTTAGTACAATGGGATATTAAGGAGCCATTAAAAAAAAATTTTTTACTTCAGGGGGCTATTCAAATTTTTCAGGAGGCTCGAGCCACTGCGCCCTCCCTAGCGACGCCACTGATTTGCATTACTTGAGCAAATCCTGCCTGATATATAATATTTTGAATTATTTCGTGTTCGATTGTTTGCAGTATTACTGATTTTTACACATGGTAGATGAAATACCTCAAGTTACATTTCAATGTACAAATAATAATAAAAAAGTTACATTTAGGATAGTTTGGCAAATAAATCACCCATTTTAGAAATTCAGAATGAGCTTAATCATTTCCTGGCATCTCTTCAAGAACATTCAAGGTTATTTATACACCAAATCTAAATAATTATTGCAATTGTATAAAACTAAAATCATTCCATGAAGCTCCATTAAAAAAGAAATAAAATAATTTTCGTTTTATTTAGATATGATAAATTTAAATTAATATTATTTTATAGCATATTTAATGTTGAATAAAAATGATATTATTTTATGAATAATATAAATATATAGGGAATAAATAGAGAATTTTTTAAATATCATTTTAGGCAAAAAAGTCTCTTCCTCAAATTAAAATAATAATTACTTACAATAAATTAAAATGATTATCATTTTTTAATAAATTTTGAAAATAATTACATTTTAAATATTTTAGAAAAAAATTAAATGATACCTGTAACCTGACTAAAGGCCAGGATAAATCTGATGGTTCAAGACCTACCAATAAAATATGCATATATTATATGGCTAGGGCTGTTAATTCTCATTTTAAGAAAGAGGTTTGCAAATGAAAAATTTCTCTACTGGGTTCAGGATTTGGAGTCCAGAAAAATAAGGATTTGTAAAAACAGCCAGGAAAAATCTAATGGCTTAAGACCTACCAATAGAATCTTTATATATGACCACGGCTATTAACTCTTATTTTAAAAAAGAGGTTTGGATTTAGTGAAAAATTTCTTAACTGAGTTCAGGGTTCTGATTCCAGAAAAATAAATATTTATAAAATTTAGTAAAAATAACACAAACATCACTTTTAAAAAAATAATTTTATTATATTTAGTATTTGCCTTAAAAATAATTAATTTTATTTAAGCGAATTAATGATCTTCTAAAATCTAGATGCTAAAATTTAATAGATTAAAAAATATTGAAAATTTATATATCTTGCTAACTGAAATAATATACTAACAAATTCTATCAATTTAGGCATTATAAAAGTATTTGCTTCTAATTACTGATTTTTTTTCTAATTAATTGTTTCTTTTTAGTAAATATGGCTAATATAATATATTAAGGAAAAGAAAAGTTAACATTTTTTTTTAAATTTTAATTTCAACCATATTTTTTTCTAAATAACATAATTAGTATATAATTAATTTTTCATATTACATATACAAGTGATGTGACAATATTTGAAAAATATCACAAAAGTTTGGAGATTTTATCAGATAAGGAAAATTATGACATTCAAAAAAACACACATTCAAACATACATGTTGGATTGAATAGTCAAGGTTTGGGTCTCAAGGATTGCTTGTCAATATTAGAAGAGTGCATTATAGGTTCATCTTATGAGCATGTAAATGATGAAGAAATCATGTAAAGAAAAAAATTATATAAATGACCTATTTTTTTGTTAAAATGAGGGATCAGAGTTAATACATGCTATTAGAGAATTTGAAAGATTTTTTTTATAAATATGGAATTTTATGATTTTACTTAGCTTGTAAAGACATTCTCATTTTGATTTATAGTTATATCTAGTGATGCAAAATTGCTAGATTTGAACCGATTTTTAAAAAGGGCTATCTCAGTATTCTATCCAGAAAAATTATTACACAAGTTTGAAGATTTTGCACATAGATGGCACAAAGGTTTGGACATCAATTACTGAAATCTCGAGGCTTGGGCAATATTGATTAAAATACTGAGGTAGCCGTTTTTTATAAATCGACTTAAATGACGATTTTGCATCACTATTTATACCATATTTTATTTTTTATCATCATTTTTTATTTAACATATCAATTATAACCCAAGTTATTTGTAATACATGGTAATGAAACAGATAAATGAATAAAGCTGTCATAAAAAAATGAAGAAAAGAAATAATTGAAGGAAAGAAAGATAAAAAAAAAAGCATAAAAATTTTGGGAGAAAACAAAATTATGATAATATTTTTATTTATTAAACCCCTTCCCACAGACCTATTCCCATATACACAGGTTTTACTCTGACAAATGAAAATAATTTATTTCTGGCTAGGGGACCTAATGCATCCCAAGATCGAACTTTACCACTCTTATGCGAATTGATAGCTACCTATTTATTTTATATTTTGTCATCAAGTCATGAATGCTACAAAAATTTGTGGTTCAAATTGAAAGGGGACTTGGAGAGGTGGATAATCGATATCTATTGCTCGTAACATTCATTTTCTCTTTTTTTATTTTAGGCTCATACTATGATAAATCGACCAAAAAGCAAGATTTTCGGAGATACCTTTTTAATAAATGAAACTCGATATTATGGTTATAGATGGTGTATATTTAATACAAATCAAAATAAACCTCTAGCACATATTTCAGTGTCTATATGAGCCTTTTTATTTTTTTGACAATCTTAAATTAACCGAAAAATATGTTTAAAGTCATGTATTTATTTAATTTTGTAGCCCTTAAAATTCTCATTAAAAAAATACCAAATATTTTTAAAAATGAAAATAAAAGGAATTATTTGAGCTAGCTCTAATTTAAGACGATTGAACTCGCCTGATATGTTTATTATCTGTTTATTTTAAATAGTAAGAAATAAAATCGAGGAAATACGAATATAAATTTTATTTAGTTTTTTATAATTTTACCAATCGAATAAAAAAAATGAGACATTTGGCAATCACGGAAACAATTGGATAATTCTTATTTTTTATTGATTTTTACAGGAGTGGCTTATTTTTTGAGGGAATATAAATGTAGTGTTGTTAAACGGCCCAATTTGGGTCGATATTTAAAAATGACCCGATTAAGATTTTAGTCAAAATAATATTATGTAAAGCTCAAGATTTGCCAAGTGTAGGTTCAAACCTTTCTGCTATCTATGAGCAAAATCTCTAGGCTTACATAATATTTTTTTGGATATCTTAACATAGCCATTTTTAAAAATCGACCCAAATCGAGGCCATTTAACAACATTAATTTATTGCCAAAGATTGACTGATCTTTATCGCCAAGTTTAAAAAAAAGATGAACAAAATTTAAATTATTTCCTCATTTGTATAGACATATCTGATGAGTTGAATTTTATAATTTTGATATATCATGAATAATCTATATTTATACCATCATATCGAACTTCATATGTTCTAAAATTGATCTTCTGAATTATTTGGTGATTTGACATAAAATGACACTTTATTATTTTTTTTCTTATCTTGCTTTATTTTAATTTTATTCATACGTTTCTCTTTTATCCCTTTAATTTTTTATTATTCAATCATTTAAACTTTTCTCTAAAATATTTTTTTTTAATTTAAAATATACTAAAGAAATTCTTCCTTGGCACATTTCTGTCTCTTTCATTCCTTACCTTCACTCTCCTATTTGCCACATGGCAACCCAAACTTCAATAAGTATATTTCTATTGGCGTTTCATCTAAAATCGCCATCCGCTTTAATTACCCCCGACACGATACTCTCGGTTATTCGGCATTCATTAAAAATCCACCGGTCATTTATATGACCGATACTCCAACTAATAGGGATCTGGGAAGATGGCTGGCCAAAGAGGTCTTATAGAAAAATAAAGGAAAGGAAGAAAGAAAAAAGAAATAAAGAAAGAGAATGACATAAAAGAAAGGAATAAAAAAAGGAAGATAAAAAGAATGACAGGAAGAAAAGGAAAAATTATTGCAGGAAAGTTAAGAATGAAAAATTAAATAGTTTTTTTAAAAAAAATTACTTAAGTTATCCTTTGGCCCGGAAAATTTTACTTTCGTTGCTTGCCGAGAAATTGTAAACCAAGAAGAAATTAGTCCAACTACCGTTTACGATTTGCAAGCTCTTGAGGAAGCCTTGAAAAACGACGTAGAATTTGCTCAAAAAATCCCTGTATTCCTAGTGGCCTATACCTGTAATGCTTGCACGTGTATATTTTATATAACCGCATATTTTTTAATTCCACTTTTAAAAAAGAATTTACGTGCTGGAATTTAATTTTTAAAATGATTGCACAACCTGATTCTAGAATTGTTTCATTCCCACCAACATATTATTTAGAGGAGCGCTCAATATTTCGTCCAGAATAGTAATACGCAAGCCTGAAGATTTTGTTTGTAGAAGGAACAATGGTTTGGACATCTATTAGCGAAATCTCGAGGCTTAGACAATATTTTTCTGGCTAAAATATTGAATTAGCCGTTTTTAAAAATCTGCTCAAAACGAGCCGTTTAACAACACTAAGCGCTTTAGAAAAAATTAATTCGAATTTTTGGTTTTAACAATTGGAAAATCGCTATTGAGTATTTATTTTTTATTTAACCTTCGAATTTAATAATATCACATTCCCAATATTTTAAATTTTATACCTAACGGACGATTATTTTTTTGAAAGTGCTCCATCATATAACATATTGAAATCATTCCATTTTTTTAACGAACCTGATCTAATTTAAATACGGAAAAGAATTGTTTTAATGGCAGATATAGAACATAAAGGCCTGCAAGTCGGACTAGACATAGGCCTAACATGTATTCGGTTCTGCCATTGATTTAAAAAGAATTCTATCTGGGTTGACAGAAAGTGTAGATGGAACAATGTATTATCATAAATCTATGATATTATTGTACTTCGTTTTCTATCCTAAAATTGCTAATATCTTATTGTAAAATAAGATTTATAGTTTGACAAATTGAATTTTTGCCTTTGCAAAAAAATAAATTTGATTACCTACGCTATTGTAGCATGTTTTAAATCTTAAATTCTAGTCTTATCGAAGAGAAGATAAGGAATAAGAAATATAATAATAAAAAAAATAAAATATATGAATTTCTTTTGTATAATATAATTAAAAGAAAGTATTGCGGTAATGAATGAAAAGGGGCAAAAAACTGGAAGATAGGAAAAATATTTTTTTTACCTATAATAAAGGGGTGGGATAGGAAAGAAAATAAAAGATAATAATAGAGGACTAAATCATTTTTCAAAATAATTAATCTATTTTTTTTAAAAAAAATGCCCATTAGCCACACCGCATTTTGCAGAAATGGACGATATCGAAAAAATATTTCAAATTTGTCAGAAATATTCTATTTGGTTGCACCTTGAAGGGTATAATTTTAAAAATATATATCATTTCAGAATGTGTGACTAAGAAAAGAAAGAAATTAAAATTATAAAAGGATGAGGCACTTATATAACGCGATGAAGAGATATGATCTGATAATTATTTTTTCATTTTTAGCGATAATTTAGCTTACCTACCATTGTTTCCTGATTCTGCAGCTATGTCTGCCCAAATTCAAAATGAAATTCCAATTGATGTTGCTAATACTAAAGTTTACGTTTTATGTTATAATATTTTTTGAATATTTTTTTCCACATCTTATTTTAAAAATTTGAAATGTATCATATACCATCTAATCATAGGCGTAGCCAGGATTTTCCTAAGGGGGGGGGGGATTAAAAAATTTTTGGGGGCGAAGCCCCCAGATCCCATTTTGAGCGGGTCTTCGGCTGGGTTACATCAGTCTATATATAGTCATAAAATATTTTTACAAGATAGGAGGTTAATTTTAATAAAAAAAATAAGCCTGGAACAAATATGAAATAGATTTTTATAAGTAATAAATTACTTATATATACATTAATATACATGGTAATAATTTATTCCAAACAAATATAAGAAATTTATTTATAAAAAGTAACTAGACATATAGTTGATATTCTTGTATTATATAACTTTTACAGACATATTTGACAGTTAGAGAATATATTACAGTTAATATTTTAACAAATTTTACTAATCAATGCTCTTGATAATAAATATAGCAACAATTTGCATTCAATTATTTAACGCCATCTATTTATTTTAAATAAAAATTGATATTAAAAATTAATCTTTATATTATTCATCCCACAATGTCTTTAAAAGATATTTTCTGATGTCCTTATCAATATTTTATATTTTTCTGAAAAATATATAATTCACTATATTGGTAAATTGTCATATGATAATTGATAAAATTAGATATACTGTAAATCTACGACATATAATATTCCAGTGTTTGTATTGTGCGTTAATTATTTAATTTAATTTATGATTTAATTTTATCAATAGTTTTGTAATTATATTTTACTTTTATTAGGATAAATAAATTTAAATTACTCACTTTATAAAAAATTATATTTGATATATTATATTATTTATTAATTTTATGGATCTATTATTATAATTATAATATATTTCATTTTTGTATTAAGACTATCTTTGGCTTATATTCTATTTTTTTTAAACACTTTTGGTTCACTTTTTTTATTTTTTCCAAAAATGTATAAATTATGATGAATAGTTTTTGTTTAAAAAAATATCAACTTTTACATTCTTTCTTTCAAATTATTGTTTAAGATATATGCATACATTTTTGGGGGTGGGAGGACTAAGGGGGATATTTTTATTAGCTAAAAATGATATTCACAAAAAGTGATAAATTTCTGAAACGGGAGGATTTCCCCTATCCCCCTTGGCTACGCCTATGCATCTGATGTTTATTCTATGATTGTTTTGAATTAAATTTTAACTTAATTTTTTAAATTAAAAAAAATTGTATTTAAGAAAAGATTTCCCAAAAACTTTATTTTATTTTAATGCACTGGCAGAAAGATAGAAAATGAAAAAATAATTTGAATATTTTTTACTTGAAAAGGTGTTTTTTTCATTTGTCTAAGAAAAAGAAGATATAATTATTCATCCATAAATTATCTAGGTTAGCCTAAAAGTATAATATTTCCAAGTTAACAATTGATTATATACTTCTAGGGAAAATGGTGTATAAAAGGATAGAAATTTTATTTTGCATTAAAAAATAATTATATAATTGATTATCAGAGAAACCTAATTTGAAAATTTTTACCTATGGTATTTCTTCACCTCGCGAACTCTAATACCATCCTATTCTAACTAGAGTTTAAAACCCTTGGAAGTTAGGCAAATCTAGGAAACTAGACCCTGGGAGTGTTGTGAAACGGCTCTATTTGAGCCGATTTTTAAAAACGGTTAACTCAATATTTTAGCAGAAAAATATTGTCTTATTCTCGAGATTTCGTTAATAGATGTTCAAACCTTTGTGCCACCAATGAGCAAAATCTTGCACAATATTTTTCCTAATAAAATATTGAGTTAGCCTTTTTAAAAATCGACTCTAAATGAGCTTTTAACAACACTACCAGGAACCCACTTTTAAAATAGATACAAACCAGAACCCATTTTAAAATTTTCAGAATTCGCTTTCGAAACCAGTTCCAACAAAAGCGCAAATAATTTATATATATTTTGTAAAATTTTATTAGATTCATTTTAGAAGAACTTATTGCTTAAATTTTGTTTTGATTGCTATAGCAGAGTTTGGAACTTGGAAATCCTTTAGTCTGTGCTTATTTTTTTTTCAAACCACCAATTTTTAGACTCTTTGCCAAATTATTTTTTATTATTAACCAAATATTGCTTATTTTACTTTTGTGAAAGCTTTAGTAAAAACTTCTATAATTTACTTTTAGAAATTTTCAGAAAATTCAGAATCTTCGATTAAAAAAACGCAATCATGTAAACTCGATTTCTTTAATAGTCTTCACTTGCCTCTCAATCAATGGCTGGGTCTGACCAACATGCCTGACGCTGTATGTATTACACTTCTTATGTTTTGTGCATGATATTATTTATAAATATTGCTAATTGGAATAAAAGAATATGATGTAAATAAAGTAAAGAAAAAAATGAAGTAGCAATTAATTAGTTAATAATGGTTAAAACGAGTCGCATATTTTATATTTTTAAACGAATGTTTAAGACCTTAATCAACAAGCCCCTGGATGATGAACGCCTTACCATGCAACGCGGTGATCATTTATCAAATTCTGTGTATTTGAGAAACCTGTCAATCAATGACAATCAGGCTTCAGACAAAGAACTCATTGCTTCTTTTAATACGTTAGAGTTTTTTCTCAATATATATACTCTATTCATAAACATCATGCAGGAATACACTTATAATATATTAATTTTCTCTTCTGAAAAAGAAGTGAGTAAGAAAAATATAGAATCAAATTTAGGTTAAATTTAAAACTTGTATTATTCAAGCATGTTGGACACTAAAATATTTTAGAAAGAATTTTTAACTACATGACTTGAGTCTAACTGATGACAATGGTTCAGAAATATGAAAAAATATGTAATGGAACAAATATGATTTTACTTTTCCACTTTATCTTTTATAGAAAATTATTATTTTCATAGAGAAAAAATATCCTCCGAAAATGATCACATGGATACCGGAGTTTTATTGTACCAATGGCTAAGCTTGAGAAATCTCGGGCTAGACGGGGTCAAAAGACATGTGGGAAGGTTTTCCCTACTTGGGAGACAGATGATCGACCGCCTGAAGACGTTGCCTGAAATAGAGATAGCGTCCGAATCGATGAATGGCGCCTATTCATATGTGACTTGTTCTTTTATTTATTATTCTTATTTTTTTGTTACGAAGGAATATCATGTTACAATTATTAAATAATCATCCTATTTAAAGAGTTTGGTGAATTATCCCTCTAAACAAATTGCCATTATTAACTTCACACAATTTTCTTAAAAATTTTTGCAAATAAATATGGTGGTTTCTTTTCATTTTTTATTAGAAAAGTCGCTCTTTACTAAATATCCAAATTCAAATTTGGTTATCTTTATTTTTATGAGGAATAAAAATACATCTTATCAAAATTTCGAAAAATAACCTCATTATAAACATTTTTTTTAATATTAGGAAGGGGAAGCCAAATCGTATTTAGAGTTTTGGCTGAAAAGAAGTACATATTGTTTAACTACCATTTTATTGTTCGGCTACTTTTTATTTTTTTGAGCCCCTGAGATTGTAAAGGTAAGTGACGTCCCTGGTAAAAATTGATATATTACTATTCCAAGGTTTGATAGGCAAGTTATACTAGGATATTATTTTATGTTGAAATCGTTTATTTACATTATATATTTTTTACAAAAAAATGAGGTGAAAAAGTTAAGTCAAAGCAATATTTCACCTTCCGCCTCCCTGAAGAGTATCAATACTGTTACAACACTCAATAACAGCTTGGATGCTAATCCTCTTTACGCTAAGGAATACGTTAGAGATCCTAATATTTTAGCGTTCATGGTAAATGCTTCTTGTCTTTTTTTTTATATGTAAGAAATCTAATATTTAAGTCTTTATAGTGAGAAATATCAGAGATGCACTGATAACAATTTTTATTTTAGCTTATGACAATGCGGTATTGGCCGATATCAATCTTTAACTTCAGTAATACTAATATTCTCATTTTTTAAAAGGGCCTCATGAGATTGTTAAGGCTAATGATGATGCTAAATCGCCATATTTGAGCCGATTTTTAAAAATCGCTAACCCAGTATTTTATCTAGAAAAATATTACGCAAGACTGAAGATTTTGCTTATAGATGACACAAAGGTTTAGACATCTATTAGCGAAATCTCAAGGCTTAGGCAACATTTTTCTGGTTAAAATATTGAGTTAGCCGTTTTTAAAAATCGGCTCATATAGAGCAATTTTGCACCACTAAGTGACGCAACTGTTTATTATAATTTTCATTTTTTTTAATAAGATAAAATAATATATTTTATAAAATAAAAATACATTTAGGAGTTTTTAGATGGTCATAAATCTTCCGTCATTTTTAGATACAAATTTCCAGAGACAAAAATGCTCAATTCTACTGGTAAGTAACAATTGTTTTTAAAAAATGGTTTCATATAATAAATGAAAAATAAAGAAGGAAATGAAAGTACCATTGAACAAATAATTATAATAATAATTTAGGTTATTGAGAAAATATGAGAGTAAGATTTGAAAAAAAATAATATTATTTTTAAGTTTGTTTATTATAATTGAATATATATTCCATCGTTGACTATTAAATCTTAATTTAATCAAATGATTTAGCCTTTAATATTTGCATTTCATTGATTTATATTTAATACAATAATTCATTAAAAAGAATATGTTGTCCCCAAATTCAAAAATCATAGATGAATGATAAAAAAATCTCCTTAAATCGATATATATTTATTTACATTTATTTTTTGATGAATATGATAAAAATGAATGGTAAATATCTTATAATCCCCCTTAATGGGTTAAAAGCTAAATTTTTATTTTAATTATGTTTTAATAGACGAAGATACAATATCCAGTAATTTATAACAGAATAAGCAAACTTAAATTTTATATTATTAAAAATTGACATAAAAACTTATACTTAATAATTAGTCGATTTTCCAAAACCGATATTGATCTCAGGACGATCGGATATTCTACAATCTGATGCAGCGGATAGCAAATCTAATCTTAGGGCCGAAAAAATTAATGGGGAGTATTTAAATTCCCTCAATACTTGGGTATTAACATCTTTATCAATACTTTTATATCATTTTTTTATCATTATAAAATTAATAATGATAATTGGGTTACTAATTAGGATAAAATTCGATATAAAATAAAATAAAAATTTACCCGATGACTACTTTCTTTTAAAACTATTTTTTCATTTCCTGCAACTTTTTTTTTTGTATGTTAGGTATTCATTGGTATTATTGGAATTATGTCATTCCCTTCATTCTTCCTTTTTTTTTCTTATGTATCCCTCTTTTAATTTTATAGGAACTAATTCTATTTCACTCTAATCTTTCGAAAAGAAATAAATATAAATTAGTTGTTGTTCATTTTTAAAAGAGAATTTAAGAAAAGGTTTCAAAAGGAATATATTAGTTTTCTATTTCATAATTTTATTGTGGTTTTATAATTATAATATTAATACTTCTTTGGGGATTTGATTTTATAAGCAAAATCACCGTTTATAATATTCTATGAATATGTATTTTATATATGCTTTGAAATACAGTTGGCACAAATTATGAACCGTGAAATTCCTCATTTCCATCTTAGATTGGTTCAGAAAGAAGGGTCTACCAAGGTGTTTATTCAATGCAATTTTGTGCGAACCTTTGCAGGTATATTATATTTTTTTCCATTTTCTATCGTTTTTCATTTCCATTATATCCATTTTTTACCGGCACAAGGATGAATCTAATTAATTATCCTGCCGGTCTTATATAAATTTTTATTAAAAAATATAAAGTTTGTATTTGTAGAAAAAATGAATGATAAAGGTAATAGACTCATGGTTTTCTGAATATTTCGAAAAAATATTTCTATTGATGAAAAATCTATAATATATAAAAGGTCTTATTACAATCCTATCATATATTACAACCCATCAAATTTAATATTTATCAATATCACAACCCAATATTTTATATTTATCAAACCCCAATATTTCATATTAATCAAAACCCATTATTTCATATTTATCATGTTTAAATTATATTTATTTATTTATACATCGATATCCATCTCAAGAAATATTTCAACTCAAAATTTCATATCAATATGATCCAATTTAAATTATCTTTATTTTCTTTATATACCCATATCATATGTTTAAAAGTTAAACAAAGAAAATTAAAAATTTTTCTATTTCTTCTAGAAAAAATATTTTGAAAAATGTCCAATGTCAATTACAAATCGACAGATACAACAGGTCTTTAATTTATTTGCACAATTATCGATAAGATAATTTTAATACTTAATTAACGCGTTAATGTTATACAGGACAAAATTTCTTCTCTTATAAATAATATAATTAAACACCAAATTCTATCACGTAATACAAATAAACACAATATAATAATTCATGTATAATCATATAGGCGGTTTAATTTATTGGGGAGAATCTTTTAAATAAGTCACCAGAATAATTACTATCTTTTTATAAATTTCCAGCTTTTTTTCTAAAAATAAAAGATATATGAGATATTATACCACCTAACATTTTATATCGTTTTAATTAGTTTTTACAATTAAGCTTACTTATAAAATTATTCCTTTAAATTTATTATTTTATTTCTTTGCATAGCCCAAAATATCGACACATTAGCGGTAGACGAATTTTGCGCCAAAATAGTTGAAAAGATAGAGATAATGACGGCAACTCATCGAAAACGACATCTCGAACTGGCACAAAACTTGTCCAATTACCCCAACCTCAAATTAGTCGACTTGCCATATTGGGCAGGCTTAGGGGCCGTTCAGTTTAAAAATTTTTTTGTAGATTATTTCAATATAATAAGAGCCAGAGTGAATTTAATTATAGCCGATGATTTAGGCTGTTTTTATTCAATATAATTGCAATTTTGTTTGTATCAGCTCTCAAAATGATGAGTATGAAAATACAAATGATTCGCTGCTTATATTTTACTATTCAACCAAGAAATAATGTTTTAGATGTTAAATTTTATGTAATAGAATTTAAAAATAATGTAAATATAAAAGACAATTGTTCATTTCCATTTTCGGCTGAAATTTAGCGAAAAGAAAGGCCGAGATTTTTAATAATTTTTAAGGTCATTTCCAAACAAGACGTTTTTTTCAAAATAATTACCTAAGCTCGTTCGTATTTTGAAAAATTTACACAATAGAAGTTGCGTAAATAATTTAGTTTTATTGATATAAATTGGAAATAATATATTGATCATTTATTGTCTTAATGGTTCTATCTCTGCTTTTACCGTTTAAGGGTAAGGGGTTTGTTTTCGCGTTTTATGATAATTTTCTATTGCATTATTATCATATAATCATTTGTTTAACCCATTAATGGTCAAGATTTTTCTAGTGGATAAAAATGCTCAATTTTTTCAAATTATATTGATTAATGCTCAAATATGATATTCTAAAAAAATCAGCCAAAAAAAATAATCCTAAATAGAAAATCTAGCCTGGTGCATATATGCACCGTTAACCATTAAGAGGTTAAAAAAGATAAAAATTATATAAAATACTATAAGATCAAAAAAACAACAAATATCTTTATTCTTTTTTTGTAATTTATAATAAAAACGAGAAAATGTTTATATATTATGAAAATCCTTGAAACATTTAATATGGAGTGCGATTTGACATGTTTGGCACATATATCTTGAGTGCGTATGGCAATATCTGCATCTTCGTCTTTTTCCATCTATAATTTTGGGATAAATAATGTCCAGATGAATCAATAGGGTTTTCACCCTGTAATGCAAACTGGCTGGCGTGACCTGTACTTGAATTTTTTTCAATTTTTACTGGCGTTCGAAGGAGGTAGTTAGTAACTTCTCGTCTAAATGCAAGCAAACTCTTCTTGTCATCTCGATTCACGAATTTCCAGATTTTCCATGAATTTACCAAAGCTACATCAATAAAATTGATGAATATTGGCCACCACCATTTTTTTCCTCTTATTTTTATTCTATATGTAGATATTAGATTATCACATAGATCAACTCCACCCATGTGTTTGTTATAAGCAGTTACCATATTTGGCTGAGGAATTTTTATTTTAGAAGATATTTTCTTAGAATACCTTGAAACATTAGAAAGCAAAGAGATAGTGTGGCATGTCGATGCAACGGTCACCACCGAATTATCATTCCAACGAACTACAAATATTTCGTTTAATTTTTCAAACCTATAATCATAATATCCTCTTTCTTTTTTTGCTACAACCTTTATAGATTCAACTGGGCAATGCTCTATTCTATTGTCCCTCACACAGTTCCAGTTGCAAAATATCCCATTTGTTTTAAGTATGACAAGAGTTTAAATGATGTAAAGAAATTATCAAAATATATTTTATGATAATTTGGTTTTTGCAATGCCTTTAATAATTTTATGATTACATTTCCACCTAATCCATATTCATATTTATTTTCGCTTTTTCCTTGATATATATCAAATGAGAATACGTAACCGTCGGAAGAGGCCAATATCCAAGACTTGTATCCGAATCTAATTGGTTTTCCTTTTATGAACATTTTGCAAGAATGTCTTCCTCGATATGGTATCATCTGTTCATCTATTGATAAATGATGTTTAAAAATTCCGAATTGCTGAAATTTATTATTCAATATATTAATGTAAGGCCTAACTTTATAAAATCTATCATGTATATCTATTTTAGTATTGTCTGCCAAATGGATATTATATTTCAAATTTCGAAATTGTAATTGGGTCATTGTATCCCGGATTATTGGAATAGAAATATCGCTGTCATTAGACCAGTACATTCTTTCTTGTGGGAGAGAATGATATCCAGTAAATAATAGAATAATTCCAATAAATCTCTGAATATCTTGGATGGTTATGCATATGTTAGGTCTATTCATTTGTTTAGCATAAATATTACTTTGTTCTACAATTAGGGAATATAAGTCTTAGTCGAAAATTAAACAAAATATATCTGATGGACTTTTACCATGTAAATCATTTTCAAGTTTTATTACATCTTCCTTTTCTCCATTGAAAGGGCTTGAAGAATATATTGCATCCGTTTTTCTCCATTTTAAATTGTGAGAAATTCGAGAATAGCTTCTTGTAGAATATGGTTCTGGAAGGTCGTCATCAACTGAATTATGAATCTCCAATTCTCCAGCTGTATCTGAAGGCAAAACTCCGACATTTGTTAAGTCATTTTCATCGAAATCTTCTTCATCACTAACTGCAGAGGGGTTTGGCGGAATTATAATCATATCTCTTTCTTCAATTGGTTCCTCTTCAAAAAGTTGAGCAAGCGCTTGTTCAATTGTTAGAAAACGTTTCATTAAAAAAATTTATTAAAAATTAAATATCTAGACAAATTATTTTCGTAGAATCTTGATTTTTTTATTAATTAGTCATCTATTATTTTGATTGAATTGACAAAACAGGTGCATAATATTTTATATAAATAAAATAAAATCTTCAGAAAGGAAGAGGCTAAAAATAATTTTAAACTTTTGAATATTTATGAACCTAATAATTTCATATAATTTGATCGGGATAAAAAATTATAATAGGAACAATATATTATTCGATTTAATCTCAGGTGAAAAAAATTTTTTTAAATTATTTTCAAAAGGTCTTTTTTGGGTATAAAATTTTTTTTAAAAATTCTTAAGGGGCTCGAGCCACCCACCCCTCCCCTTCCCACCCTTAGTGACGGTAGTGGTTTTAAGTATAATATAAAAAATTATAATTCATTATGTTAAATTTCATTTGTTTGAATTTTTTTAAATAATATATACTGCTAGATGGTTAACGGTGCATATATGCACCAGTCAACTTTATGTGGTTACCTACTAAAATATTAATTATTTAAAAATTCAAAAATGATTGATAAATATTGATATATCTATAAAGAATATATACACACTAGTTTTCATCGAAATAATTTTATAATATGCTCGTGGAGATCACTTAGAAAATTTTGCATTTTAGACCTCATAAATTCGCAAAGTTTGAGGGTTTCTTAGGGGCATAAAAAAATATTTTTTTCATATTTTTCTTTTCCAGTTTTAAGGTACAATGTCTGAACTATATAAAAATCTTTTTTATTATTTTAAAAAAAAAAACTACTATGTTAAAATAAGGTATATAGGAGGTGGTGCATATATGCACCGTTAACCAGTAACGGGTTAATAAAACTAAGCAAGTGAATATAAGTTACTTATTTTCGGTTTGCAAATGACTGCTAAAATTTAAAAACTAAGTCATTCGTAAATGTAATCACTTCTCAATTATGCAAGGCATTAAGAAATTCATCCTAAAGAAAGTAGGAAATGAAGAGAAAAAAATTAAATTGGTGGAAAGATATGATAACTTATTTATAATTTCTTACTACCAAATCCTGATTTATCTATAGAAATTTAAATTTTTAGTTACGTCCCGAATATTTGGTTAGGCGGCAAAAGCCAGAATCTGCCAAAATTAATGGCGCAAGCTCTTAATAAATTGAACGAAGAATTAGTGAGCCAACTCAATATGAGGGATTCAGCGTTCGCGATAAGTTATTTTTTACGTTTTTATTATCTCTTTTCTATTTATTTCTCTTTATATTTTTGGTATTTTCCCTTTCTATTTTTTTATATATTAAATTGATAATATTTTTATCATCCATCCTTAGTAATTAATATTTTTTGAATTTTAAGACCTGAATCATTTTAGAATTCTGTATTTAATACAAATATATAAAGGTAAAATGGAAAATGGCATGTCTTGCGTGGGGTTTGGAATGATAACCAAGGAAACCAACATACAAGAACTTGTTAAATTAGTAGCAGAGTTGGGAGCCAAAGTTGAAGAGGATATTAAAGTTAAAATTTTTTTAGAAAATATAGGGAATGGGTTAGATAAAGAATGCGAGAACGAGAAAAAATTAAAATTAAATTTTATTATATCAATAAAGTTACCCGAAAAATTATCCGATATTATAACTGGGAGCATCAAAGCCGTAATTCACGATCTGGAGAAAGAAAACGAACAAAAATTTTATCAAGAGGTAAAACAATTTTATACATTGTAATTAAAATGGAACACATTATTCGTAAACTATTTGTTTTAGGAACCAATAAAGTCATTTATTTTTCATTTTTAGGGTGTTTTAAGACACGTGCCAGGGTTAGGTTCCTTGATGAACTGGTGGAGTCCTTGCAAACCTCTTGCTATCAAAGGAAAATCTTTTGATCTAGATTCAGGTTTTGTTTCTTCTTTTTTAATATATTATTTTTAAAAAATGTTCATATCTAAAAAATAACATATACTATATATATAGAATATATAAATAGGAAACTATTTGAATTAAATTAGTATAAAATGCAGGTAATGACAAATTTCGATAGATGTTCTATGCCGTGTGATAACTCTCTTTGGGATAACCTTTGACTAAATAAATTTTGTCCTATTCTATTTGAATATTTTAAGGCTTAAGATCCAAATGAACCAAAGGTGTCTGAAAATACCAGAAGAAACAATAAATTGTTTAGATGGTTGCAATTTAATATCAACCAAACAAGAGTTAGAAAAAATGTTTATCGTTTATTGGTTTTTAAATTTTCTGCTCTTATGATGGATTTGGTAGAAAAGAATCTGGTAAAATTGTTTTCTTTCTTTTATTACAATCCTTTTTTTTCAGTTGTTTGCCTTTGCAGCGTTCGGATTTTACCTCTCCAATTTCAAACGATTTTTTAAAAAATATTTTTAGGCTCGGCAGATATTTGTAAATTTTATTAAATAATTGTCGCAGTATTTTATAAATTATGAATCTTTCAAAAAAATTAAAAATATGGAAGTCGGCCCGGACTGAATCGGCCATGTGAAAATTTTTATGGGGCTTTTCGGACCGGCTTAAAAAATATCTTGTACAGATTGTCCGGTGCGGCCCAAAGTCCTTTTTCCCCTGCCTGGCCCTCAGGCTAGGATGCCCCAATTTTTGAATTTAAGGGATAATTTATGATTGATTGATATTAGAGAAGATTTTCAAATTTTTTTTTCCTCCCCTATTTTTAAACTAGCCATTTTTTTTGCCGTTAATTAAAATGATTTTTTTTTTAATTAAAGGCAAAATAGAGGATTCAGAAAAGAGGGCTTATCTATCCAACATGCATTCACTTCACTTGTCTACACATCCAATAGCAGCTAATCAACAATCAACTGATCTAAATGAAAAAAACGAAAGATGAAATAAAAGTTATCTAGAAAATTAGGAACGCTACAAAGAAGGATAATGCTAAAATTATACTTGATTAATGGGGTTTTTTTGAAAAAGTAAATCTTAACCTAGATTTTGGTCAAGTAAAAGTTTAAAATCTGTAAAAAAAAAAATTCTATAATATTAAGTACACTCATTATTAATTATTATATATAAAAAATATATATGAACAGCTTGTAAATTATATTTTTGATTGTTTTTTTAAGCAAGACTTTGAAACTATTGTCTAGTTTGATCATTTTTGCCAATTTGCATTTCTATGATTTTTTTTATCCTAATTTTTTTTAAAAAGATAAAAATCATGATTAAATATTGAAAATTACTTATGAATGAATGAATTATTAATTTGTAATATTTATAATATTTATTTTAAAAAATTTCCTCCTAAAATTAGATAATACTTAATGATGTTTATTATATTAATTTTATATGTTTTTAGATAATTTATACATATTATTACAATAAATAAAAAAGGGCCTATAATGATATCATTGATATAGTTGTGTAATGACTAAATGTCTATTAATTTGACTCGATCTACAGGCCCGTGCCAGAGGAAATCCGTTAATAATAAGGAGTTTTAATTTATATTAGTTTCTTTCAAATTTGAGCGGCTATACTTTTAAGAAAACCGATCTGTTAGATTTTTAGCCGGCTAAAAATTGGCTGGCTCATTGATAAATATTTATTACGATTGTCTATAAATAATTTTTAACTATTTGCTTCAAACATATGATATCATTATTTGGTCAAAGTAATAGTTAACTCAAGTTGATTATTCCTTAAATATTATAAAGTAGACCCTCAACTGCCTAAAATTGACAACTAAATTTTAATATAAAAGAAGACTAAAATTAAGTCCACATTAGTTGGGTTAGGTTTATTATCCTAATAATGCTTTGTGATCCTTAAACCAAATGGGTAGAGTTAGGCATATCCTCAAAAACACGAAGATATCGATTCATTACTTTGTAAAAAAGAAGGGATGGAATCAATTCTTTTCTTTGTAAAAAAGGAAGGGATATTAGTTATAGATATTAGTATCCTATTAAAAATATAAAAAGGTTATAAGATACTTTTATCTTTTACTAAATGAGTGTATCTTAAATACAAGTTTCTTTTTATAAAATTTTCATTACCTATTAATTAAAATATTTAAAGTATAAAATACCATTTTATATAATTTATTTTATAAATCGATCACGATTCGGCCTACCCCTTTTAATTGTTAAAAATTTCTAGAATTATTTAGATAGGTAAAAGAATGAGAAAGCCGTTTATTTTAGCTCGCTAGCACACCTGGTTCTCGAGATATAGGGTCTCAAAGGTACAAAAAAGAGCCACTTTTGAATCTGTAAAATTTTTAAAATGCTTATATCTCAAAAACTATTTATAGTAAAAAAATTATAATATATCATTTTGTAGGTAAAGAAATTCTCTAATGGGCTAACAAAGAATAATAAATATTGGCGCCATTATAGGCTTTTAACAACCGGTTTACCTAAATTGCTTTACCTGTATTTTTAAGCAAAATAGTGAGTTTGTTTTTGAATTTTTTTATTGCTTTTTATTTAGACACCTTTGCTAAATATATATACAATATTAAAACCTTGGCGACGCTATCAACTCCAAAAATTGATAAAAATAATAAATGGCGCTTTATGAAATTACGGATTATGGTTAAAATTTTGCTGCTAACTTATCAATAACCAGCTATTTTCACTTTTTATACTAAAAATGTTGATTTTCTATTAAATATACTAATTAACTGAGGAGTAGAGTAGGCAATGCCCATTAGACACTTAATAATGTAACAAATTTCCAATAATAAATATTTTTCATATATTTTTTTTAATTTTTAAGGTATCTATACAATTTCATCGAATTTTTCATCATTTGATAAAGATAATGGTATAATTTTAGTCGTTAAAACTTTTTTTTACTCTAGATATTTTTTTCTTCGAATATTTCTTTTCACATAAGCGTTTTCTTTTAATGAGAAATTCCCCATTTGATTGTAGGGATATATTAATGTTATCAATAGCCTCTTGATTAATTGTATGAAGGGGAGAATCAATATCTACATTGTCATAATGTTTGCTAATTTTTGTCACCATGAAGAGCATATTAACATATCTAAATTAATGGTAAATTTTTTTCGGTCATCCAGGGTAGAATCTTTCGATAATAAGCATGTCTCTGTAGATTAAATGGGTTGCAACATTTTAATATTTGGTACGTCCATCTGTGATATATAATAAAATTATAATTAATCTACACCTAGAGTACATGTTTTTGCACTCTCCAAATCCAGATTGTTATTGTAGACAGACAATAAAATTAATCTGAACGGACAGGTTAAAATTATTTTGCAGAAAGAGAGATCGTTTTAAACAATTTATTTTGTAAAATATAATCGAATATATGCCTAATAAAATATTCGTTTTTACTGCAGCTGTTATATATTATCGAGCTATCATTCGCTCGCTATAGTAGCAAAGTAGAGATCTAAAAAATGTAAAACATTTTAAGGTAGTTGGGGGGGGGGGAGGGCAGAACTGGAAAATTTTATCACAATTCTTATAAACATATCAATATTTTCATATGCCTTAAGAATAATATTTTTCAACCATTAGCTCCATCTACTTTTTTCTTCAATTTTTGGTAAAAATGTATATTTCAGAAAAGTCGATAGCGTCGCCAAGGTTTTGACATTGTATATACATTTATAAAAGGTGCCTAAATCAAAACAAAAAAAATTCGAAAACAAACTCACTATTTTGCTTAAAAATACAGGTAAAGCAATTTAGGTAAACCGGATGTTAAAAGCCTATAATGGCGCCAACATTTATTATTCTTTGTTAGCCCATTAGATAATTTCTTTACCTACAAAAGATATATTATAATTTTTTTTACTATAAATAGTTTTTGAGATATAAGCATTTTAAAAATTTTACAGATTCCAAAGTGGCTATTTTTTGTACCTTTGAGCCCCTATATCTCGAGAACCAGGTGTGCTAGCGAGCTAAAATAAATGGCTTTATCATTCTTTTACCTATCTAAATAATTCCAGAAAAAGGGGTCGGCCGAAAAAGTGCCTTTTTTGATCGATTTGACATGGAATGAATGGCCCATAGGTATTTTGTGGAAAAAATATTAATTTGAAATTTTTATATAAAAATAGTAATAAAGCTTATTTTATAAAAAGAATGAATAATTATCATATTTAATGATGAGGTAATTATATAATGAACCATTTTAGTACTAATTTTAGTCTATTCATAACAAAATAGGTTGAAATATTATTCAATAAAGAGTATTTTGAAATTTATTATAAGTATATTTTTTTAAAAATATGGGATCTTTATTTATTAATTTAAAATAACATAAAAACCAGATGAAAAAAAATGAATTTAATAAATAGAAGGGTCATTGAGATCCGAGGGAACTATAAATTTTTATGTTTTAATCAATTTTTCAAATAATTTATAATGTCTTTGCTTTGTCGGAGCATTTAACATTATGCCAAAACTAAATAACTTTACAAATGGTGCTGATATACTCGGCCAGAGGGATAGGTGGAATCAGGCTAATATTTTTTAGTGATCAAAAAAATATAGAGAATGTCAGCTCATACCTGCTACTGCAAGTAATAACAGAATTTAATAATCTCATAGTCAACATAGGTTACCATATGATTTAATCCCTCTAGTCTCTGGTGTTAATAGCACTTCAAAAATCATATCGGGGCATTCGGTTTATCTCTATAGGTATTTTATTCAGAATCTGAAATAATTTGCAAATGAATAAAATATTTCTTATCTGATATTTTACCACCCAATCAATAATGATTTGGGATTAAAAGTGAATACGAAACCGCAGGTCATGCAGTTAGAATCACTGAAGAATCTACCTTTAGATAATTTATATATCAAGCTTGATATAGCAAATCCTTTCAACTCATTAAACCGCAACTAATCCAGAATTTTTAAAAAATATCCATTATTCTATAATTACATACAATCTAGCTATGGAACACTTAATACGTTACCGAAAACGAACAATTATCTCAGGGCAAAGACCATTGGCGTACGCAGAGGGGGGGGCACAGCAGGGTTATCCTTTAGGTTCACCCGTTTAACAATAAGTAGTAATTAAGGATATTAGATTAATTGTTCCCTTAAAAAGCAATTAATCATTGTATGCTTCTCATAGGTGCTTGTTGAATCGCTTTCACCTTATCCTCAGATGGATATATTCCATTTTTGTCTAATAAAGCTAGACTAAGAACTTGACAGATTCATTCTTATATTTAATTTTTTCTGATTTTACTTTTACTCTAGCCTCCTCTAAAATCTAAAAAACTCAATTAACTTTTTCTTGATAATCTTTATCTTGACGCTTGTAAATATCACGATCAAATACACTCCTCCCATACTTATATCTTTTAATAACTTATCCATTAACCTTTGAAAAATTAACGGATCAAATGGCAACCTTTTATATTTAAAAAACCCATGATTGGGATATCACTAACTATTTATGTGAATCATTGTCAACGCTTAATTGCAAATATGCATCACGTAAATCCACACTCGTAAAGTTTCATTCCTGAATTTTGGTTATAATGTCATCAAAAGTTGACTTAATATAAGGGTATTTTGACAAAAATAGGTTTAATGTGATCAAAAATTTCTACAAATTCTGATTTCGTCAATACCATTACAGCTCCTGTTGAATTTTGATCGTACTAGGATCCATTTTTTTCAAAGATGACAAAAGGCTTTTTAATAGTATTATTTAAAACATTGTTTATATGATTAAAGAATTCATGACTATATTATCATTATCATAAATTTCTGTAAGGAAGAGGGGGCACTATCAGGCTGGGTTTCCCTATAATTTTTATTGGAGGTCTTTTCTTTAGGTATACTTATTTTTTTATAAAAATGTATTTTTTCTAAAAATTTTAAATTATAGTCGTTATCTTTAAAAGTTAATAACTTTTACTGATTTTTCTATTAAATCTTCTTTATAATGATATATTTTATATATTTTTGGGTGAGAGGAGGGTTGAGAGAATATAGAAGGATTTTATTAGCTTAAAATAATATTTAAGAGAAGAGACAAATTTTTGAAGGGAGAAAAGATTTTAAAACATTTCCCATTGTATGCTATACTTGAATCTCCATGGAATCTCCCACACCAAGTGCATATATTTAAATAATTCGGCCTACCTCAATTTCTCCTATCATTATTCTGATTCTCCTTATAAATTTTTTTAACCTGCTACGCTATCTTATGTATTTTTACCTCGCTCTCTGTCCTTTCCATGGATAAAGCAATTTTGAGTATTTTAACTTGATTACCACTCTCCTCCACTGCATCTTGCTATATAGAATGAACTTCTATCTAATATTTTCATCTTCATTCTACATAAAAATTGATAATCAATTCTTTCATCTAATGCTTCTAAAAAATACATAGCTTACGTGCATTTTTAAATTAATTGAAAATCCAATGATAGGTTCTCCTTCATATCTTATTATTCTTAAAAAATTTAATTTATATATTATGGTTTCACTAGATTCAAAACGCTTTTTAAACTATTTATTAATTCTTTATAAGTTATTTCTCACCAATTCTTTGGGTATATATGATTTAATATTATTTTCTCTTTATCCATTCCAAAATAAGCTTGATATAATTTTATCTTTATTAACCAACTTTCGACCATTTACCCAGTAGTGTTAATTTTAAAAATGGAAGAGGGGGGGGGGGCTATGATTTTTGGTTAATGATGCTTACTGCCAATGGCAATATCAAAATTTATTAAAATATAATAAGACCCTTATTATTTAACATATAACGGAATCACGTGGTCGAGGCCTCCTATATATATCACCCCCCCCCCCCAGGACGTAACCACCAAGTTAGATTATGAAATAAAATATGATCATTGCTGGGATATGAACCCATAACAATAGGATTGGTAAGCAACGCTCTTGCCGACTAAACTACAAATGCTTTCCAAAAATCACGATTTTTCAATTATATTTTATAAATATATTTGGTAGTGCCTAACCAAATGAAAAATAAACAAAATACAAATTAGATATGTAATACCTCAAGGTATTAAGCATCATTAACCATGATTATTTGGGAGGGCCTCCTTTGATCGTATTATTTTGATCGTAAAATGGTCCATTTTGGTCAAAATGGACGATTTTTTTAATTTATAGGTTAGGTTTAGGGTGAGGGTAAGGGTTAGGGTTAGGGTTATAAATGATTTTAATTTACCGCGATTAAATAGACCAATCAAAAAAAATGGACAAAATTTACGATCAAATGACTTTACGATCAAAGTTAGGCATATATATTTAAAAAATATGCAATTATAAAATCAATTTTTTTTATTATGAATATTAATAAATTATTTTATATTATATTTTAAAAATAATGTTATAAATTTAATACTACTGATAATACAAATTAAAAAATGTATAAATATGAGTTAAAAAGATGTCCATAAATCCTTTATTTCTTATTTTCTTTGGTAATTAAAAAATGTATAAATATGAATTAAAAAGATATCCATAAATCTTTCATTTCTTATTTTCTTTGGTATATATTAGACCGATGGGTCCCCCAGTCTGAGTGGAGTCCGTGATCGGAGGTCCGGGATGGTCAATGACGGGATCTAGGGGGCCGGGTTTTATAGATTTAGTCATGGTATCACTCTGACAACGTAGTGGCCATAATATTTTCAAAGTTTATTCAACAAATTAAAGTCGATGTTACAAAAAATATAAATTATACAATCAAAAGAAAATAATTAAATCAAGAAAAAGGTATTTTTCCAACCTTTATAATTTTTAAAACAAAGAGAAAAAAAGGTTGTTATTTAATCGCGATACAATCATTCATGAAACTGGTTAGAACCAGTTTCAAATGCAATAAAAAAATAAGGTATAATATCAATTTCATAACAAAAAATAAGGAAGATGGGAAAACAAAAGAAGCAAGAGGAGAAAAAAAAACGTAAAAAAAGAAATAAGTTATACGGGACAAGTGGGGAGATAACAGTTTATTGAAAATAAAGGTATCCACACAAGGAATTTATAACAAAATTTTAGGCCATTTCCAGACATAACCTTTTCCCAAAGCGGTTTATAAGGAATATTTCCAGCAATTTATTTTTAATTTTCAAAAATAGGATAATTTATCGAATTAATTTGTTTATTAACACAATATCTTCTTAAAAAAGCTATCACATACGCTATTTAAACGTTGATAATAATAAATTACTGGAAATATGCCTCAAGAACCGCCTTGAAAGAAACTTTCTACCTAGAAATGGCCGTAAGAGTATCTTCATCGAAATATTGTCGAAGCCCATCATATTCATTTAATTTGAATATTTGGCTGATTCTTTTTATTTGCTTTTCGCCAAATCGCTCATCTAAATTCTTATTTTTTTGAAATGAAGTATATATCGGAATATTAACTCTAGCCTTAATAATCATTGTGATATATTGGAACACCATTTTTATTATATAGCACAATGATGCATGGCAATCTATAAAAAAATATAACTGATTTATAATAATAATAAAAGCCCAATACAACCAAGATATCGCTAATAGATATCCAAACCTTTGTTCCATCTATAAGTAAAATCTTCTAGATTAAATTTTACTTTATAAATTTATTATATTTTTCCAATTTTAAGTTTATCATAATTTTTAACATGTAATACAATAATTCTTGAGAATATTTTTGGGCATTTCTAACATTTTTTTTTGAATTTATATAGGAAATAAATGCATAAAAAGTTTATATTTTTTTCAAAGTTCTTTTTCAAGATTTATTTATAGTGAAGCCGTTTATATATAAATATTTTATCATTAATTTATATTTTAATTTATGTATTAGAAATTATCAATATTTTATAGGCGTTATTTTTATAAATTTCTGAATCTTAAAATATTATTACCTCCGGAATAATTAAAAAATAATTTGTTATCCCACCCCCCTCCTTTCCCCACATCTACCTATAGCCATTACTTGAGTACACGTCTGGTTAAAAGAAATCGCAATTGATTTTAATATGCTTCAAAAAAAAAATTTTTTTTTAATTTGTAATCATTATATATTATATATAATACAATTATAAATGCTTAAAAAAGGTTGTCTAAATAAGGCTGTTAATATAATTTTTATTATTTAAAAATAGAATTGCACGATAAAAACATTATTATAAAGTACTTTCCAAATGGAGTATTATAAATCAGCTGAGGTTTTTAAATCTTTCAGGTAATAATGAAATGCTCGAACTTATTAAACCTACCCGACGAAATTATCATAGATATCCTTCAACTTTTAAGCTGGCATGATCTTGTTAAGTAGATAATATAAATGAATTATAAGTCATAAATTTATATTCACATTTAGATGTAGCCTAACATGTTCCAAATTTAATTATTTATGCCAAAATAATTCACTGTGGAAACATATTACGTGGTATTATTGGCTTGAGAACATGTAAATTATTACATATGTTATTTCGAATGTCATTTGTTTTTATACAGATGCCCACATGGCTTATCCTGGTATGAATATTTCTATAAACTTAAAAAAGATTGGGGTAAATATATGCATTGTTACAAAGAAATTAAAACAGCTTGGATTTCAATTGAATTATTCTTAAAAGACAATACTACAACCATATATGACTCCTTAAAACGTGAGTTTTAATAGCTTATTTTATATATTTATTTTGTCTTATATTGGAATATATATAACAAAATTTTTATGTTATAATATAAGCTAAATGTAAATATCTTTTCTATTATGTTAACTATAGTATATAAATGCCAGATATTGCATCTAATACTAGCAGAGCCAGATCTTAAAGTTTGATCTGATTGTTTGTGAAATTGACCTAATCTTGAAACTGACTCCTATTTATATAATTTATTTTAATAAATATCTATTTTAAAATGAAGAAATAATATATATTGTTAACCCTCTATACTATTATATAAATTTTTTACTTCTCTTAGTGTGTAAATAAAATTCAATATTATTTAAATCACCAATTAAATTAAATCATACAATTTTTTTAAATCATCAATATAACTAATAATCTTGGCAGATGAAGAATTTGTAATTTATTGTATATTATTATCATTTCCGGAATCTTATAAACTTATCTAAACTATATTAGTGAGAAATAACTCTCATGCAACATCATCATCAACTCCCTAATTTTAGTTGCACATCTACTTTGATGTTTCTTGTGTTAAAGGTTTTACCAACCTGAGCCATAAAATCAAAATGAATGATTATAAAAAAATTTAAGAGGAAAGTTAACCAAATCATTATAAAATTTTGAATCATTTTAAAACTAGTAACAATTTTAAAATTATATCTATATATAATTTAAATTTTAAGATTAGATAGTACAAAGTTACCATGATTTCTTATTTATCTTATAAGTTAATAAAGATATTTTATTCTTATTTTGTTTAAATTTTTTAATTAGATTATTAATTACTTATTATATCATTGTTGATTTTAATCATAAGCAATAAAAAAACCAGAGCAAACACGGCCCAACATGAAAATTTGCATATTTTTCTATACCTACCCATTTGAGAGAGAGAAAATGCCAATTTGATTTGATTATTTACAATTTTTAACATTTAGAATTTTTTAACTTTAGCTTAATTATTTCTAAGATATTTAAAATTTAGGGAGTGCACCTTACCCAAATGCCCTGTTTTTATGACATTTAGAGGCCCATATCTCATCCGCTGTTTAGAGTGGAGGCTAAAATTTCATTTTTTTCTTAATTATATTTTATACAAACTTAAAATTTTTAGAAAGATCTGTAAGGAGATGGTTAAAAATCATGTTTTTTTATGAAAGAAAGACTTCTCTTACTATATATATCAGAAACCTGCAGGCCCAGCCATTTAAATTTTTAAAATATACCCAGGCCTGGCAGGGCTAAAAAAAAATTTTTTTAAAAAAACCCGGGCCGGACTTGAAAATTAAAAAATACCCGGGCTGGGCCATATTTTTTTAAAAAATTTATACAACATGAATTATTATATTCGTCAATTAGAGATGGTTATAATGATTATATATAGTTATGATTAATATAATGTTTGGTGAAAGTTAACACTATCTAACACTCATAGTATCTATTACATAATAAAATTATAGTTTTCCTGCCATGGAATAAATATGCAAAAGATTAAATACATTATTATATAATATATGTTTTATTTTTTATTAATTAAAATATCATTTTTATTTTTTTTATAAATAGATAGTATATTCTTAAAATATTATTTACATAAATTTTTTATAGTATCAATTTGTAATATACTAATAATATACTTACTTATTAAATTATAATACTCTCCGAAAAATATGATAAAATACGAATTAATGAATTTTTTATATATACCAGGTCGAATATAATTTTAAAAAATTCCGAGCCGGGCCTAAAAAATTTTTTTTTTAAATACAGACGGCCCCCAAAATTTTTTTTTTAAATATTAGGGCCGGGCTGAGCCTAAAATCTTTAAACCCTAGCCGGGCCAAAAATTTTTTAATCTGGGCCGGGCCGTACAAATGGTACCTCTGCAGGTCTGATATATATACTAGCTAATAACCCGTCATGAATGACGGAGTTGAGGGGTAATTAGTTAGTTTGTGTATATGGTACTAAATATGTTTTATATTAAAATTTAGGAGAAAAAGAGGTAAAATTGATGCAATGTAACCTCTGAGCATTAAGAGTATTAGAAATATCAAAATTTAAATTTGTTAGGAATCATATTGGGTAGTATTAAAAATAGAGATTCTTCAAAATTTTTGAATTTTAAATATGGGCTAGACATTGGCCTTAAAATTTTGTTTTGCAGACACAGCTAGGCCTGTTCAAAAAACCACGTCCTATGCATTCCCAAAATTTTGCCATTTATTTCTATTGTAATTTAATAATAATGTCTTAAATTTAATTTTATATTTAGAATAAAATTTAAATTTGTGATAGAAATCATATGAATAAAATTTAATATAGAGATGCTTGGAAATTTTTTAATTTTAAATATGGGGTAGACATTGACCTGAAATTTTTTTTTGCAGACATAGCCAGACCTGATCAAAAAACCAAATTCCATGCAACTTTTATAAAATTTTGCCATTTATTTCTATTGTAATTTAATAACAATGTCTTAAATTTAATTTTTATATTCCATTTATTTCTATTGTAATTTAATAACAATATCTTAAATTAAATTTTATATTTTAAAATTTAAATTTGTGATAGAAATCATATTGTGTAAAATTTAAAATAGATATGATTGAAAATTTTTTAGTTTTAATTTTAAATATGGACCAGGCATTGGCCTGAAATTTTTTTTCTCGAACCTGGCCAACCCATAATAATTTTGTAATTTTTTCCCAAGTCTGGAGATAGGTAAATCTCTGAAAACCATATTATTGGGAAAATTTTCTCAAGCCCGCCAAAGACCATAATAATTTTGTTAGTTGAGAACTGAAATAAAATATATAAAAGTCATAATTCATTTAAAAATAAAATCAGAATATGAAAGTTGCATGGGCTTGGTTTTTTAATCAGGCCTGGCGATTTCTGCAAAAAAATATTTTCAGGCCAATGTCTAGCCCATATTTAAAATTAAAATTTTCAAGCATTTCTATTTTATATTTTACACAATATGATTTCTATCACAAATCTGAATTTTATTCTAAATATAAAATTAAATTTAAGACATTTATATTAAATTACGATAAAAATAAATGGCAAAATTTTATGAAATTTGCATGGGACTTGGTTTTTTGATCAGGCCTGGCTATGTCTATAAAAAAAATTTCAGGCCAATACAACCCATACTTAAAATTCAAAAATCTTAAAGCATCTCTATTTTAAATTTTATCCAATATGATTTCCATCACAAATTTAAATTTTGATATTTCTAATACATGCTCACGGTATGCATTGCAACATTTTACCTCTTTTTCTCCTAAATTTTAATATTTATATAAAATTTATTAATAAAGTATATTTAGTACCATACATACAAACTAAATAATTACCCTTCCCGTCAGCTAGTCTGGTAATAAAAGGCAGAATTTTAAAAATATCAGCTATTAATTAATATTTTAATTTTAATTATATTCAAGTTGGTGCATTTAAAACATACGACTTTGAAACGGGAGGCTTGTGTTCGCTCGTAGAGGGCAAAAAATAACATTACACTATTTAGTCTCCTTAAATTTTAAATACATTAGGAAGATACGAAAACGATCATGTTTTGATTATGGAGATTATATATATTAGATATATAATATGAGTAAGTTACAATATTAATAAATGGCCATAAATTTTATAATATAACTTTAATTTTTCTAAGGATCATAAGTACATTAAGAATTTAAGAATGGATTATAAATGCATAAATTTATTTAAGTTGTATTATTCAACTATACTGTTTGGTCATATAAAATTCCGTTTTTACAAAAATTTGTTTAAATCTTGCTAAAGTATAAATCAACAAAATATTTAAAAAAATCAGTCAAAATAAACCGTGCTTTTCCTTTGTTATACCTCGTCCTGGCTCGATTAAATTAGTTACGAATTTTTAATGGTGTCCAAGTCGTATAACTAAAACGGGTCGGACCTTGGAAATTTTTTTAAATATATGTAAATTTATCAATTTATATTGAATTTTTTATGTAAAATAAAAATATTTGATTTTATATATTGAAACTAAACGACATATAACATATGTTTTTTATTTTGAGTAATTATAAAAATTAATTTCTATATTCGGGCCGGGCCGGCAAACTTTTTTAAAATAAATTCTGGTTCGGGTCGGGCCGGTAAAACTTTTTAAAAAAAAATTAGGCCCGATGCAGATCACTAATTTATAATGAATGCATCATAAATTTTTTGCATAAATATGTATATTTATTGCAAAGACCTGCAGAGGTACCATATGCACAGGCCCGCTCGGATTTATTTTAAAAAAAAAATTTTCGGCCTGGCCAGGGTTTTATATTTTCAGGCCCCACCCAAATTTATTTATATATAATAATGGCTATTATATTTGGTTTTAAAACGGCCTGACTCTGGTATTTTTAAAAAAAAGGTGTGGCCCGGTATATTTTAAAAAAAATTAAAATACAGGACCTGTCCTGCAGGTCTTTGATTTATTGTAAAATATTTTGTATTTTATAAAATTTAATCACATATAAAAACTTTTACTTTGTTTATAATATTTATACACATAACAATTTATATCTTCTATATGTTTAAACGTGTAAATTTGTATTATAACAAAATATAATCATTTTAAATTAAAAATTATCATTTAGGCATAGTTAATTAATTTTAAAGTTGAGCTTATATATGCCTGATTTTGCTGATCTAGAACTTTATTGCATAAGCCAGTTACCCAATGTTTTTCCTAATATAAAATATCTAATAATTTAAAATTCGGTGCTTTAACAATAGGTCAATCAAATAAGATAATAAAACGAATTTTGTCAACTGGCAAAAAATTTATGTATATGATATCTAAATTTACAATATATTGATAAATATCATTTCTTTGCCTCCTTTCTCTTTATTAATTCTTATTCTTCTAATAAGAATACTTAAAAAATTTAGACGTTTCATTAAAAGCAATAAAAATTATATATGTT